CGTGTTCTGGAAGTTTTGTTTCCTAACGTTTCACCAGCACCTGTGACTGGCATCTTCAGAGAGCAGGAGCACAGACAGGAGCGGTTCTCTGAGAGACTTCCAGAACGCGGCCACACAGCCCGGAAGACCCACACCAGCCATCTTATTTTTAAGGTTCAAGCTGTGCTTTTGGCCTTATCCACATGCAAGAGGGATGCAGAGCAGCAAAGGGGACAACATCAGAGGTCTGTTAAGTAGAGGGATCACTATTAAATATTAAATACAGAATGAATGAGGGAAAGAGAGGAAAATACAGCATGAGAAATAGAAAGATATAGCTAGAATTGTGGACAACACTAAATTTTGTTGCCAGTCCCACTTGCAGTATATATTACACAGGAAAATTGAGTGTGTTTGTGGAGTCTATGGGACTATAATTCACTGACACGCAACCCTACAGATGTACCTATGGTACTGTTCTCAAAGTATTTCCCAAAATGTAAATAACAAGCTTTTAAGCTTTTGCAGGGCTCCGATCTCTGCCTCTTATTCCCAATACCTCTGGATGGCCCCAGGCTGGGGAAAGGTCTCTGAGTTTTGCTCTTTTAATTGTGAGCTGCCCAGTTGGGGGGAGATGGGCGGCATACAAATTTAATAAATAAATAAATAAATAAATAAATAAATAAATAAATAAATAACTCGTGCCATATTGTTTCATTGACTCCTTTGTACTGAAGCTGATAGAGTAGTGTGATCCATCCATTCCGAACATCTGCAGAGGGTGGAGGCTTCCAGGCAACCTGAATATCAGTATAGACGCCTATTGGGCTGGTGTCCAGCACTGTCCAGTTCAGCCCAACTGGAGGATCAGGAATTACTGTGATTGAAACGTATTTTTCACAGAGTTAATCAAAATGTAAAAGGAAACACCATCTAGCAGTGCACCCTCTCAGTCTGTCTGTCTGCCTGCCTGTCCATCCATCCATCCATAAACACACACATGACACTCTTCCTCCTGGAAATCAAGATTATTGGCTTACCCACTTGCTTCTGAGGAGATGGATTTTTTCCCCCTACATGGGCATTACTACTACAAAATGGTTGTCAATGAATACAGCTGTAGGTGTGCTAAGGGACTCATCACAAAGTGGAGAACTCAAATACATGTGCATGTGCGCATGGAGGTGGCTAGCAAGCTTGATCCTAGTCCATTTAGGTGGTACGGGTGGGGTTATTTCAACATCCCTAAATATTGAAATAGTAAAGATTATTTTGAAAAGATTGATTGCATACTTTACAATACTTAAAATACTTGGTGCACAAATTGGAGTGGCACTGTGAAATTGGTAAAGCTCCTATGCAGAAAAAGTGGCTTGGGATTCTGACCAGCAGTGATCCTCTAGGGCAGGGTGAGGAATGGCATCTAGGGAGTCATTTACAGCCTGTAAACTTTTTCTTAATGTTCCCCAGGGCACGACTGCCACATTTTGGCAGCACAATTATTGAAAACTGGCACCAATGCACTGTTTTCCAATTTGAGGCAGGACACACATGAAAACTGTAGCATAAGTTTTAATAAAGTTTAAAAAGATGCCAACTTGGTATATGGGACAACTCACCCCCTTTTCATCATGGGGCTTCAACATTAAGTGGAGTACTGACCACACCTGCTTCAAGGTCTCACGCTTAGCTCCTTTAACTTTTAATAGGCTTTTACAATCAGCCAGAGTAGTGGTAAGCAGTGATTTTAGGTCTCTCTCTCAGCCCAACGCACCCCATAGGATTGTTGTTATGGCAAGACCTACCTAGAACTTACTAGAGCAGAGCAGAACTGAACCTGAACTAAACCTGTTAGACAAGAGCAGTGATGTCATGTTTCTCTAAGTTATAAAGAAGGAAGACAGATAGGAGTTGGGAAGCAGAAGTGGTATCTTGATGCAGAGCTGGAATTAAGGAGGGTATATAGTGGAATTGGGCAGTATTTCCATTGCAGGACAGTTAGGGGAAAGCACAAATTATAATAGGAGCTGGTGAATTTATTTTATGAACATTCTTGTTTGTGAGACTGCAATATAGAAAGAGGGTGGCATAATTTTGTGATGTTTTGAAAAATCTCTGGATAATCCCTAAAAGTTTGCCTTCCCTCTGTAACCACTTCTAGTCTTCAAAATAATACATAGCACAAGAATCTCAAATGCTTTTGTTCTAGTCCAAGAAGTGAAATAGAAGAGATGCATAGCAGAACAGTACCTATATCATCAACCTGGAAGTATTTGTCATCATATGACTGATTTGCAGCATGAAGCTGAACACGATAAGGGACCCAAATGGAGGTGAAGGATGTATTGAAGTAACAGCTGTTTTCACCAGAAGTTGTATAATCAGGACATTCTTTCCATTCTTCCCACTCAGTCAACCTAGAATGGTAAACCAAATAATTAAGGTAGAATCAAAGAGTTGGAAGGAGGCAGGTAGAACCTTTCCCATTACCAAGTTAAAGTCTTACTGACAGGCTACTAGCATATATATGCTGCCTCCACTGCTGATCTCTGTCCAGATTCTACTGCATCTGTTCTAGATCACTGCCAGATGGTGTTGTCCTGATTCTGTCTATGCAGAGCCTGATAGATAAGGTGATTGGTTGCATCCACCAGCCTTACTGCCCTCTTCAACCCAACAGTGGTCAATCATAGTATTGCAGGAATAGGGTGGCCTGACACCAGGCCTCTGTCAAATATCACTATGTTTTGCCTGCCCCTCCTCTTAGATCCCATTCTGTCAAAATTGGTCCCATGACACCATTATCTGTCTGAACCTGGGACAAATCTGGTCAAACTATCATTGCTAGCTAGAGTAGACTACTGCTCTTGTGCAAATCCATTGGGCTGCCAATGTTGCATTGGTGCAACAGCAGAATGGTGGCAGAAGAGGCTGACCAGAGGCAGGAAGGAATGAGATGTGTCCTTACCTGAAAAAAACAATAAGCACTTCTTGGTTTACTTCTCTTGGTGCTCATCTGACTTTAGTGTAACTGCTTCTACATATCTTGCAACTGTCCTTGGACAGTGTTAGAATAAGGGGGGAAACCAATAAGCAGGGAAGCATTACTTGAGCACTATAACACTATCAGGGATACTGACCACCTTAGATGTTATAGGTTAACATTTTGTTTAAAAAAGAGAGGGGCAGCTTGTGGCCAGCCCAGAGGACCCCCAGTGTGGCTGGGGACAAAACTTCCAGTTTTTCATTTTTGTCTTTTTTTGGAGCTTCCACTTGTTAATATCTCAAAATTTCTTCTGGAAAGATGCGTTATGTTAGAAAGAACCAGTATATATGAATATGTTTTTCATCCTGTAAAAATGCCTCATCATCCTCTCTGGTTACTTATTGTTAAATGCAGTAGCAATATTTTGAATGGGAAAAAGAGAGAATCCTTGCTTTTTAAGGCTTCACAAGAGGAATGCTACCAGAGAAAGCACACTACGTGCAAAATTTACAATAATGTCACGGCCATGACTGTCAGCTGTTGTTCAGGTAGTCTGTGAACATGAGATGCACTCAAATCATGTTCAAAAGCAACCTGCACAACAACTGGCAGGCATGGGGTTTGTGTACACATTCTCTCTGATCTACTTCACCATATGGCCCCCACTCCCATTATAAAATTGTCATGATTTGTTGGCTACTTAAAGGGGAAACATTTCTTGAATGCCAGGAAGCTAAAAGCAACTGCCTCAGGTATGGATTGGGTTCGGGACAGGAAAGAGGAAATGGCAGAAAAACAGGGTTTCCAGGGTGTATTTGTGCTGTGTTCAGGTGCAAGTGGTTTAGAGAAAAGTTCTTTATATCATTCATCATTTATGCATCTCTATGACATCCTATCTTAATCACCTTTTCTTCCAAGTTACAAAGCCCCAACTAATATAAATTTTCCTCACTCTCCCTTCTTTCAACTTTATAGCTGTACAATAAAGTTTTTGAGGTTTGGTGGCTAAACTGTGTGTGTGTGTGTTCCTTCAAGTCAGTTTTTGACTCCTGGAGACTGCCTGGACAAGTCCCTTCAGTTTTCTTGGCAAGGTTTTTCAGAAGTGGTTTGTCATTGCCTCCTTCTTAGGGCTGACAGGATATGACTGACCCAAGTTCACCTAGCTGGCTTCGTGCCTAAGGTGGGACTAGAACTCATGATCTCCTTTTTTCTAGCCTGATGACTTAACCACTACATCATATAGACAGGAGTGAGGCCGACAGAGAATGAGAATGTGATAACTTTGCATGTGAACCCAATTAAACATCTGAGTATAAAAACCCTGGAAGATACGGGTATTACTATATATACTCATGGATAAGCCCATCTGTGGAGAAATCAACCCTCAAAATTTTAACCAAAATATCAGGAAAAATGTGCCACCCTGAAGTCCCGCAGTGAAGAAGCAATGTGACCTTGGGATTCCAGAAGCTAGGAATTATCAGTAGCAATATTTTAAACTTTATTTAAGAATTTCCTGGAGGCATCTGGTTGCCCAGAGTTGGAGGCAGAAGATGGATACTTGGTTTTATTCATCAGGACTCTTATGTTCTTATGAAGTCTGATTTACAGGTTGCCCATCATGACATGATTAAAAAAGCATGTCCTTGTGTCTGAACAAGCAGGACTGGTCTGGAGGAAAGCTATCACTGTCTTGTTATCCATTGAACATTGGTTGTCATTTAATGCGTCAAACAGAAATTGATCTTCAGGTTTTCCATGTCACAGTGTCATGACTAACATAGCCTAATACGTATGAAAAAAACATGCTCCCATAACTGTAACTAGGCCTTTATTTCTGCAGTTCCAACACAAAATTGAGTTAATTTTAGATAATTGTTTCAATTGCATGATTGATTTCTCAGTACCTTCTTGAATATAGTAGTTTAATTTTTCCCAGCGCAAATTCAGGAGGAAAATCGCCTGTTGTCCAGTAACATGAAAATGTTTCCATTTCAGGTGATCGACACTGAATTATCTGTGGCTTCTGTGAAGCAGCTGTAGGGAATGGAAAGAAAAGAGGGAAGAAGAAGAAGAAGAGAAAGGAACAAATGAGCATATGTTCAGAAGCAGATAAAATTCAGAAACTTGAGGGGTGAAACATTACAGCAAGTCTCAACATTATCCATATTCAAATCATGTCATCCACATTTTGCTACTCCAAATTGTCTCGTATTTGTGTAGTGTCATATTTGTTGTGTACTGTATTTGTTGTTGTGGGGAAAATAGGAGGATATGTATGCTGCCTCGAGTTATAAAGGAGTGATATAAATCTAGTAAATAAATAAGTACATAAATATTGATTGTAAATTTTGCATGTAGTTTGAAACTTGTACTTTTTATAGTAACCTGCCCCTTAGTTGTTTTTTAAAATTTATTAAATTTCAGCAAAGAGTAGAATGTAGAAAAACAGAAAAAAGAAGAGAATAGAGAAAGAGAAAGAATCAGAGAAAGAATACGAAACAAAAAAAAGTAACTTCTGACTTTCTTTGGTACAGGCATAGATATAAAATACATTCACCTCTTACTCTAATATTTAAAATAATACAAAGTAAATCTATATCAATAAAAATATAAGAAAAGCTAATAAAAGTATTTCTCTGATTATAAAATATATCAGTCATCAAACCCCAAAATCAACATTTCGTTTCTTTCAGCCTCAAGCAAAAAGTCCAAAAGCAGTTTCCAAACAGGAACAAAGCCAGTCAATGCTTTATCACACAGAGAGGGCATGCTTCGGACCCCCTCGGTAAAAGAACTCCGATTAGCGAGGTCCAGAAGGCGGGCCTTCTCTGCTGTGGCCCCGCTCTTTGGAACATTCTGTCCCCAGAGGTGAGATTGGCCCCCTCACTCCTGGCCTTCCGGAGGGTTTTGAAGACCTGGTTCTGCCACTTGGCCTGGGGTGGGGAGGGAATACATCAAGCGTGGGGGTGGCTAGCCCTATAGAGGCCTGCTGTCTTCAGCCCCAGAACTATCATCTTCTTGGACTTTTTCCTTCTTTTTGGTAATGTTTTGTATATATTTCTTATGTATTATGTATTTATATATATTTATTGTTTTAATGCTTTGTGTGAGCTGCCCAGAGTCCCACACTGGGGGGAGATGGGCGGAGAGAAATTTATAAATAAATGAATGAATGAATGTAATTTCAAAGACTGGAGAAAGATTCTAGGCCTTAGGGCCTGGGGGACTTATTTTCCTCCACCTTAATATCTTCTCTGTTGACTCAGTGCCATTATACAGCAAGTTGCCCAGGGCTAAATATTACCAGTGTGAGAGAAGAGAAAATGGTGTAAAATCAGATGAACTCTACTAGAGTTTCTGTAAAAGTAAGTGAAAACGGAAAAACAGAATATTGTATACAATAGACAAAGAGTACTGATACCAACACTGCTACTATTACCACATTTTGAATGCTGCTATTAATTTCCAGGGAGATACAAAATCAATACTGTCACTATAATGATCATCTGGAAGGTGCATAGGGCATCTGTTTTTAGTCTTCACCCCCACAATCCACGCATACTTGCTGTATTACATATAACTGGAATATACAGATCTCTGCTTCTCTTTTAAGAAGTGGATTTGGATGTAGCAAAATAACATGAAATTCAATAAAAGCCTAACATGGCTTGAATAGTTATAATTCACTGTTGGAAAAAAAGAGAATCCAGGGGCCAGATACCAGCATAGATTTTATATTATGAATGGAAGGTTGACTTCTATTCTGTATTATCCATCTTAAAATCCCAGCTTAAGCACCAACAAACATGTATTTCATGATGTAAGAACAGTAAAGCTAAATATATATAATATCAAGGCTTTTAAAAGTTCTTTACAGTAAACCATTCTGAGCTTTTTAAAATAAAACGCAGCGTCTAAATATTTTAAATGAAAATGAACGATCAGTTATCTAATTTAGTTTAGTGCCTGAGAAATCTTTGTTGGCTAAGCATTCCACAAGGCAGGCATAATCACAGAGAAAATACTTAGATCAGTAGTTCTCAGCGTTGTGAACTCAGTGGAAAGAAATTCACACTATCTATCTATTGGGACAATATGGTTAAAATGCTTAGCATTGACCAGCAACTTTGTTCCAGTGGCAACTTCTGGACATTCTCCTATGGGGAATGCATTCCAACAGTGTAATTTGGAGGTAACTAGGTCATGAAGGAGAAATTGCTAGGAAAGTCAGCTGGCAAGCCAGTCAAAGCAAGAAAAGGAACACCTCATGACCAGTTCTGCCCCATCCTAATGTTCTTCAGATGGGATGGTCTGCAACTCCTAAATTTCCAGCTGATATGACCAACAGCCATGCTTCTTGGGAACTGTGGAATTCATTATCCAACACATCTAAATCAGAGCAGGCTGATCTAATGTAATTCTTATATTCTACTATGGCTGAATTAACTTATCTGGGTTAATTTTGTTCCTTAACAATAAGATCAGAAGAATCAGTGGTTATTTACAAGATGAGCTCCTTAGTCTATTCCCAAGCACACAAGCAGGCTCTCAGTTACACTTTTCCATATGGGAAAGATATTTTATACAATATTTATCACTTAATGGCTACTGCCATTTATTGGCATAATACTCAATTTATATATTTTCAGGTTTAATGAGCTGTTATTTTAGTAGCATCCCTTAAGATGGGAGGGATGGAAAAAACAACAACAACTGCAAAATACACTCCTAAAATAGGCATATAGCTTTGTCAGGACTACACTGATATACTGCCTTTTCCAAATTAAGGCAATATAAAATAGAAATTGGCAGCTTATACAGCTGTTACGATTCAAAGGACAGAAACTGAATGTGGCTTTTAATTTATTATGAGCATGGATTTTTGGTACAGTCTGGATTCTGGACAAGCAACAAAGCAGTTAATGCCAAGTCAGTAGCACTGAACACTGTGTAATTAGCAGGCATAATTCAGAAGGCAAACATGCCCCTTGCCTCTTGAGGTTATCTTGGGATCATCACAATGTTCTTTTCCACTCCCTTGAAGGCAGGGGCCAGCAATCTAATCACATAAAACCATGACACTGAAACCAATGTTTAAGCCAAGCTTGCACAGGAAATGCAACTCACCAGGTTTTTATGCAGCTTAGGACTTACAGACCACAGTACAGATGATCTGGCTAGCAAGCGATGGTTAAAGAGGGTCTCAGACCCATGATTTACTATACTACAAATGACAGTAGGAATCTTAAATTTCTGAAGGAGAAGAATGAGCAATGTAAAGTCTGCCTTTTCAGATGTGCTGGTCGAAATGGAAATCAAAAATGCAATAAATAGTAAGTCATGTTCACAAGGATTTTGACAATATTTGAACATATCCTTCATGACAAAACTTACTAATTTGCCAATGATTCTGCCAAATGATCATTTCCCAGAAGGTCAGATTTTGCACACCAACTGATTATATGAATGTAACACTATCATCCAATGTTGATAAAATACAAGATTCGTTTTCTCTTTGGAAAAAAGTCATGGAACTTTGTTTTCATATATGACAACTGCAGCAAGATTATTATATGCTCGAAAGTGGAAAAGTTCAGCACTACCCACAATGGAGGAATGGTTGGTGAAGATGATAAAACTTGTACAGATGGCTAAACTGACTTCCCTGATTACAGAAAAGACAATATCTACCTTTATTGTTGACTGGAAATCCCTAGCATGATTTGTAGCTTTGATGACTAAAAAAAAAAATAGATAATAGAAAAAGTTTTTCTTTTTGTAAGCATAGAGTAAGAGATAATTTTGTAATTGTACTTGTATTTGCTACAAAGACAATCAGAAGCTTCTTCTATTTCTTTTTTCTTTTTGCACTTTTTTCTTTTTTCTTTTCTTTCTCCTCTTTATTTTATATTAGTTTTTGTTAGTTGTTGTCTACTTTTAAAAACTTTTAATAAAAAGTTTACAAAAAAAGCAATATTAATACAAAAAACGTATCAGATCAAAATTCACCCACGTCCACACACTGAATTGTACATTTACCAGTGAATAATGCTAAAAGACACAGATTTTGTCATTTATACATTTATACACTCAAATCATTTATACTTATAGTGTATACAGGTTTTTATATTGATCACTAGTGTATTTTGTTATAGTAGTACTTGTTTGTTACATCCCACCAACAGAAAATAAAGTGATTAATATTAAAATGAGATATATCTTTTATGTTTTATCTTTCTGGATTAAATGTATTTCATTAGTAATCTGAATCTAATAATTTGATATAAAAAAATAACCGCATCGCTTTACAGTCAACAGCAAATGGTAGCTAGCCTGCTTATCTGAGCTACTGTTTTAAAAGTGAGTATAACAGGTCTTATAGGGAAATCTGGCGACAAGCACGAAAGAAAGAGTGCCGATGGAAACATATGGTAACATCTGGCAACTTGGTGCCAAGGACGATCTGTGTTATGGTGTCAGCTGTAGAAATGCTACAACCAGGAGGTGGCGCTACACAAGTACAATATAGATTTGAAAAAGGGACAATCAACTTACTTTCACCTTTGATTTTAGGATGGCGCCTAGGCAAGCCACACACACAACAGGTTATACACAATTGTGCAGCCTACAGTTCTCAGTGGGCATGTGCGCCGGAGATCATGGGAACTGTAGCTCAAATACTTCAGAAGTTGGGAATAAAAGCTTTAAAGGACAGTAATTGGCAGAATAATAAAAGTTGCATTGATATGACCTTTTACATTATGTTTTATATTTTTTCTTATTGTTAGTTTGCTCTGAAACTGAAAGTTAATATATAAATACATTGCTGGGGGATCCAATGATGATGCCCCAGTACACTAGCTGAAGTGGAGTCAATGAGTGATCTAGAATAATATACCGATATAGGCTACAAGATGCTTTTCCACGACCAAACAGCTCAATAGTATCATGACTGTCCATTAACAGATGGATGGGATGATGGATCATGGATAGATACATAGATTCACATCCTTCCTTTCTGTGTCAGTTTAAAT